ATCTCTCCTTCCTTCCTTCTTTCCTTCCTTCCTTCCTCCTTCAATCTCCTTCCTTCTCCATCTCCTTCCTTTCCCCTTCAATCTTCCTTCCTTCCATCTCCATCTCCATCCCTTCTCCTTCAATCTCTCTCTCCTTCCTTCCCCCTTCAATCTCCTTCCTTTCCTTTTCAATCTTCCTTCCTTCCCCTTCCCTCCCTCCCAACATTTCTGAGCAAGGAAGAGTAAGCTTCTCCAGCGAGCATTGCTATATTGTTTTAGTGATTAATCACTATGCTTTAATTATGTTCAATTCGTAACAATGAAAATACACCCTGCATATCAGATATTTACATTACTATTCATAACAGTAGCAAAATTACAGTTATGAAGTAGCAACGAAAATAATTTTATGGTTGGGGGCCACGCCCACTTGGTGACCACGCCCACTTGGCCACGCCCCTGGCACCCGGCGATGTATAAGTGGTTGGGGGTCACCACAACATGGGGAACTGTATTATGGGGTCGCGGCATTAGAAAGGTTGAGAACCACTGGGTTACAGTAAAGCAAAGCCAGAACTGAGGTTTTGAGCGCAAAAGTTTCCCAGTTAACTTTCCCATTTGCATTCCTCCGTTATCTCCCAATTGACCAGTTACATTCAAAGAAGTTGTTTTGGTAACCGTACCTGCAAAGGCAGGCTAAAACTCAAGCCATTACATTCCATTTTCCAGCTTGTGGCCTTGGGGTGATGAACTGATGTCTCGGAACAGCATTGTGCTTAGTTTTACTTTCCCCCTTCTCCCCCCCCCCCATTGTTCATGGCAGGCTGACATCTAGCTAAGCAAAGCTGGAGTGAAGGATGGCAGTTCTGACACACCTGGTGATATCAACTGTGACCCTTACACTCCACAGAACACTGGAAAAAGGCACTTGTCAAGTCTGCTAACATTGGATGTTATTGCTTGACATAAGTGAAGAAGCAAACATATCTTATTTAGTCTACATATTTCCTCAAGAGCAAAAGCAGGCATTGCGGGCCAGATGAGGGGGGAGGAATGCCTGTGAATAACTACATTATCTTAGCATAGCTCAGCCAAGGTCAAAGCAGCAGCAGTTTGTAATAACAGATGAGACGAGAAGAAGATTCACACCTCTGTTTAATTGGAGCATATGATTGATGACTGTGAAAGGAGGGAGGGAGTTGTGCTTGTCGCGAGAGCTAGGATGGGGGGGTGTTTCAGTCTTTGGCTTTACTTCGTTCGTGCCGGATTATGTAACTCATTAAAGGATTCTTTAAGGTAATTAAGCCTCAAAGTTCTTTGAAAAGTTATTTCTTTCGGAACATGACAGCACTGCTTCTTAAGCTCCCTAAACAAGAACACATAACTTCCACAGTATATTCATCACGCTGGAAGCACCACCACTTCATCTAACGTATGTTTCTGTTCCTCACCTAAAATATGCCACAAAATCAGCCAGTAACTCAAGGAGGGGTTACTGGAACAGAAGCCAACATACTATGACAAACCAAACAAAAAGCACCAGTGTTTTGTGGCTTCCCCCAAACTCTCATTTGAATCTCTTTCACTTTACTAAGCATGGTAAATTCTCTATTCAAAGAAACAAAATGGAAGAAAGTTTTTAGGACATTCGCACGTTTTGTTCACACACCAAATTATTATCAGTTTGTGTCCTCTATCCTGATTTTATCATTGCTTAAATCCCATGATGTAAACGGGGCCTAGAGTTATCTTGGTGATTTGGGCTGCATATAAATAAACAAATGAGAAGAGACGAAACTTGCAAACCTGTGATTGTGACGTTTCTCTGAATTCTGCTGGGAGCCAAAGTTTGGATGCTGTTGCTGCTGCTGCTCCAAAGAGCTGAAGTTCTGATTTGTTACTACAAAGGGACGCTTTGGAAGGTTGACTTTTAGACCACCAGACCCAGGTGCTTCTGTTTATAAAAAGAGGATTCATAGGTGTATGTGCATGCATATTTTTTTTTAAAAAAATACTTTGCAGATTTAGTAGCCCCCCCCAATCGACATATAAATCTTCCCCTCAAGAGAAGCAGACGTGCCAAGGATTATTTTAATGGATTTTGATACTCCCAAAATTTGAGACCACATATGTGAGGAAACAGCCTTATGCATTCACAAATGCCCTTATTGCAGTACCAAGAGCATTTTATGCATTTTCATAAACATTATGGGATGATTTAAGCTACAGTTTCCATTTAAGCTACAACTCTTGAGACAAAGGCAAAAATTTAGTTTGATTCCAACGTAAGGGACTGAATCCACAGAGCTCCTAACGTGAATGAAAGGTTTTCCACTTGCCCACAGGGACCCATAAATACCAAACTCCTATTCCATTATATCCTCCTCTATCAATTTATTCACCAGCTTCCTTCCATTCCCATTCTTAATGCTGAACTAACAACAACAACAACAAAATCATGATTCTAGAATCTGGCCATTTTGCTGCTTGAATTTGACAACACATTCTTGGAGATACGCTAAGATGCTCAAGGCTACCTGTGGTTTGCAGACTATCCACTATATCCTCAGGAGACTAAAATGTCAGCAGCAGGGAAGCTCCAACCATGATGGTGATTCCCAAAGCCCAAATAAGATTTCCAAGTTCAGTAAAGTGGAAGCTTTTGCCCCACTGACCAACAGAGATGAGGGGGGGGGGGACTGTATGCACCGTGCCAACAATTCCTCTTTTAATCCATAACAGAAACTTGAAGTTAATCAAAGGTGGTTTAATATGCCTTCCTGAATGATCAGTAGCTCTTTAAAAGTTGGATATTATTAATTTTACATTAGAGAACATTCTCCATTTGCCAGCTGAGCTAAATTTGTTACAAATGTCTTGGCAACTCTTTCTATAGGTTCAATCCAACAAATAAAAACCATTTTTGAGTATGACACAGGAAGCTACGCATTTCAGAGACGTTTCCTTTTCTCTTTCCATCTCCATATACGCTAATAAACCTCAAAGCAGAAGTTACCTCGTTAAAGCAAAAGCTTTAAATTGTGCCAGAAAAGATGGCATAGCTGATAATACATCAGTAGCTGGAAATAAAACTTCCTCCAGATACTGCCAACTCCCCTTCCCAGTTAACAGAGCCCCTGAAGGTGCTTTGCCTTCCCTTCCCGAAGGCCTGCACAAGCCCCTCCACCTCCACTCCCAGAAGCTCACGTTTCATGTGGTTCCACAGCTGCTGTCCTTTCTTGGGCTTGGCTGCTTCCTGGTAAGAGTGCTGCTGCTGGTTATAGGAGGCACTTGACTGGTTTGGCTGAGAGTGCAACCCTCCAGGAGGACCACCCTGCTGCTGCTGCCCCCCAGGGCCCATGGGTAGGTTGCTATGCTGTGAAGGGTGGTTGGGATGCTGCATAGGGGACTGTGGCGGGTTAGGGATTTGCATTTGCTGAGGCTGGCTTGAGTACGACATCCCTCCATCTTCCATGCCTGGGATGGGAGGCTAGAGAAAGGAGATTTGTGCCGTTAATATCTCTGCCAGCCCCATTTTTAAAAGAACAGTTCAAAGCAGAGAGCTTACGATGGAGTTGGGGGTTCGCTCAACCCCCTTCTCTTTATCTTGAGTAAGCTGATATAAAGATGGACAACTTATATTTTTTTCTGTACTGTTACAACTGCTTACACCAAGGTGGCATTACAACCAGAAAACTTGCTCATCAACTGCACACAATGAGGGGGCATTACAGGCAGAAACCTTTAGGAAATTATCAGAAAAATCAAACCATCTTACTACTTAGCCATCTCTTCTTCATAAATTGTGAAGATAGTACTGAGAATTTCTGAAATGAATTTTGAATTTTTTGTGATCGGATTTGTGTATTTATATTTCCCCCACTACCCCGTATTTAAAATATAAAAAAACAATATTTAAATAAAGTGAAATGTATTACCTGGCTCATACTCCCTTGGTGCTGCCCAGGAACTGGTGGCTGTTGGGGTGTTGAGGAGTAAGAGCCTGGGACACCATATTGCCCAGGAGAACCATACCCAGAGTAGACATTTTGCTGGAAAGGCAAATCATGGATCAGTGAAGAGATACTTTACACCCGGGTTGTCAAACTGGCGGCCTGCAGGCCGGATGCGTCACGCGTAGGCCACACCCACCCTGGGCTCCACAAAGCCAAAAAAGCCATCGTGATATGTCACAATACGTCACATGATGCAATCGAGTTTGACACCTGTGCTTTACACAATAGGTAATATATAATTTTTGTATAAAAACAGAAGCTAATTGGGTTTCCACTCAAGGTCTTCTCTTGCCTGGATTCCATTTAGTGGATTTCTAACATTTTGAAATCCTGGTCTCTCTTTTTACAAACTTTATGAAACTCTGCATTTATCTCATATATATATATATAATAGGTATGTAGAGTCCTGTGGTGAAGCCATTTCCCTAGCCCTTGTGAGCAGCTTTTTTCACAAGTTAATAAGCTCTGCTCTGGGACTTAATTAGTTCTTAAAAACCTCTGGCCCTCTTGCAAGACTGCCTGAAATTGACTTTTGCCCCCTAAGAGTCTTGCTAGGAAACAGCAGGAACTAGCACATTCCTTTCAATGTGTATTCCCCACTGTGTGCCAACATTCCAAAAAGTGGGGGAGAAAGGAAAAGGTTCATTCCATAAACCCAGCTGATGTCCTTGCCATTTGGGCTCACCCAGCGGGAGGAGCCCCCTGGCACTGTGAATATATGCAAGGTCAATTTCTGAATAAACATTTGCTAACAGGTTTGTTATCAGCCTGGTGTCCTCCTTGATGTTCTCATTCTTTGGTATCCATCCTGCAAATCCTAAACTACGTTTTGGCACACATATTAGCAGCAACAAGGACCTGTTTGCTTTCATCACACAATGTGGCCACTTGGGAGCCTTCTGTTAAAAACTGTGTGGGGTTGGAGGGCATAGATAAAGCTCAACGAATATGGAAAATTCTGCCTTGCCTTATTTATTCTGAAGTATTGTACTCTGCTTTAAAAGACTGAATCCCTCTTCACCCTAGTTTAAGACATTCTAAAAGGACCTTATGAAATTAGCCAAATGCTATTACTTACCATAGGATAATAGTAATTATAGGGGTAGAGATAGCTGTATTGTTGATACCACTGGTAGTACTGCTGTTGCTGCTGCAGGGATTCTCCTTGCTGTGCTGTGTACTGTGAAAAGTAGAAATGTGTCATGCACTGATCAAAATGGTTATACCCACTACTACAAAATGCAAGTACTTGTCTAACAAGTCCAAATCTTTTCCTCTAATTAATTTCAGGAAGGCAGATTAGCGCGTGGCAGTCCAGTGCTTAAGAATCCTCAAAATGCAGACTCTAAAGCCATTTCAGAATACAGAGGTTCTCTTCCTTTTACATACTCCCCAATTAAAAAAAACTGTGTTCCAGTCCCAAAGGTGCTTTTTCAATAGGCAACTGGACTTTGGTTTTGCTCTGAAAATGTTTCACTTCTCATCCAAGAAGCTTCTTCAGCTCTGACTGGATGGTGAGGAATTGAAGGATTTATACTCTCTGCAGACAGCTGTCATTTGCATTCTTTTAGGAGAACAAACCATCAGGACAAGCAGTCCATCTGCATTTAAAAGACACTCTTTCGAAGACAGCAAAGTCCACATTTTGGACAGAGAGACCGCTGGTTTGAAAGAGGGGTCAAAGAGGCCATCTATGTCAAAATTGAACAGCCATCTTTCAACAGAGGGGAGGGATATGCCATCATCTATCTCCAGCCTACAACACAGTCCTTTCAACAGTTCCAAGAAGGCTCCATACCCATTTGCACTACTCAGGTGACCCTGACGACACAGATAAACCTCCAGGTGGCCTCAATGACTCTCCCAAAAAAGGCAAATGACCAGCTGTCTGCAAGGAGTATAAATCCTTACATTCCCTACCATCCAGTCAGAGCTGAAGCTTTTTTTTTGTAATATATTTTATTGATTTTTTAAAAAACATTTAATTGGTGAACAGTGTGTTGTCTGGGTTACATTTGTAAAACAATCATTAACAATTGATTTCTATAATCCATAATCCACATAATGGTTTTAGTTGATTTCCTCTTTTCCCAAAATATCTTTTGCAAACATTGAGTTAATACAATTCTTATTGTTTTGATACATAACAATTAAATATATAATTTTTCCCCAATGTTCCTAAAAATAATAATCACATCAATATAATATTTCTTTTCTATCCAATCATTCTGGTTGCCTTATCATGGATCCTGTTACAGTCCTTATTTTAATTTGTTTCTCCCACCAAATTCTAGGTATTCTTACTGGTTAAGATTTTCTCAAAAATTAATTACATTTAAAAATTTAACTCTATTTTTCCATATGAACCATCTCACACTTTTACATTTCTTAAGGAATAGATAAAACAATGAAAAAAAAAAAGAAAGGAGAGCAAGAGTAAAGAAACATAAAAAATAACATACTACTTAAAATATATATCCTTCCTAAGCTAATATATATTTATTTCCTAAATTTCTTGGATGAGAAGTGAAAGGTCTTCAAAGGAAAAACAAGAAAGTTCAGTTGCCTCGTGAAAAAGCATCTTTGGGACAACTATGACCTGGATGACTGAGAATCTCCATAGACATTTAGTATGTTCCAGTGTCTCCAAGAGATGCATCAATAGAATACTGACATTAACTTCATTTATTTCCAGCTTCCCCACTTAAGACTCATGTGACCTTGTAGAAAACTCTCCTCAGAATACTGGCTTTGAACAGGGTTTGATTTCTTATTGATTCTAAAATCCCAAGTTAGCAGCAAACAAAATGAAGTAAATTTTAGTCTCAGTCTTAAATGACCAAGGCTGATACAAACAACTGTATGTATGTTTTCAAATTATAAATTTAAGGCAGAAACAGCAATGCAAGGACATCTAAAGCACCGTTGGCTCCTTCTTACCTGTGTGTTAGCTTGACCGTTGGTGGCACCTTTACTGTTGCCAGAAGTAGCTGCAGCATTGGCCTTGCTAATATTAGCCAGCGCTTGCCGGGCCTTCTCCCATTCGGGGTTCTCATGCATTGGGCCTTCCATCCTGTTTTCTCTGGTGCTTGCAGTACCCAGGTTGTACTGTGAAACCCTATAAAGTAGAAGAGACAGTAGATGAAAAAGAGAAAGTTGCAGGGATTTTTATTCCCATGTATCATTGCTACAGCCTTGAAATCACAAAGCACCTGCAACTTTTAGATATGCTTGTCTTCAGTTTACAGAACTTGCTGCCCAAGAGTGCTAGCGAGAACATCTGGTAGGTTTAATTTGAACTCCAGTTCAGTCTAATTGACCACTATTATTCAGTTCCTGAGTCACCACAGAAAATTCATCCACATACCAGTATACATGAGCTGTTATGACTTTAGAACTTGCTAAAGAAGAGTCTCAAACCAGGGAGAAAAGACAGTGATGCAGAAAGAGGTTCTGTTTCATTAGCTTCACATGATTACAAGAATAAAAATTACCAGAGATTTTATGTGTCTCTGCTCATGGACCTTAGCCAATATACAATGCCAATTTCAATTATACTTGTCAATCCAGAATCTATGTTTTACTTCATTTTTTATGTCAGTTCCTAATTCCGCCTTGAAAGAAGATTAACAAGCCGATACATCTATGTAGGCTATTATCTGCTGATCTATTTGCATCCAAAACATTTAACATTTATGATCTCTTTATTTTATTCTCCATATAGTATACTTCAAATCGATTGTGAAACCAGCAAGTTTCTCAATTCAAAAGACAGAATAACAACCAGTTACATGAAAGAATACTATCAAGTGCTTGCTTCGTAGAAGTTGGAATCGCTGGTAACCCCAAGATAGACAATATTACCCTCACTGTTGCTTCTCACTAAAAAACAGTATCTAGGCATACAGTAGCTTGGTTCCATGGGCATGGACAACAATAAAACAATCAACAGATTTCTGACAAGTCAATTACCAATTATAGTCACAATGAAAGTTGTCGTAAGCAAGCCTATATATATACATTAAAGGTATTCCTTGACTTACAACTATTGGTTTAGTGACTGTTCAAAGTTATGGCACTGAAAAAAGTGACTTATGACTGTTTCCCCACACTTATGACCACTGTAGCATCCCCATGATCATGTCACCAAAATTTGGGCCCTTAGCAACTGGCATGTATTTATGATGGATGCAGTGTCCCGAGGTCATGTGATCACCTTTTGCGTCCTTCTGACAAGCAAAATCAATAGGGAAATCAGATTCACTAACTATCCATATTACTACCTCAACAACTGCAGTGACTCATTTAACAACTGTTGCAAGAAAAGTCGTAAAAATGGGGTAATGTTCACTTAATAACTATCTTGCTTAGCAATAGAAATTTTAGGCTCAATTGTGTCTGTAAGTCAAGGACTACCTGTATAAACTGTTTTTGCCCCAAACTGTCATCACTCTTTTCAGAGTAGGGGTAGGCAACATCTGGTTCCAGGATGTTAGACTGAAACTCCCCATATCATTCACCTTGCTGACTAGCAGATGATGAAACTTGAGTAACCAGATGCTGCCCACTTGTGATTTAAAACTTTGTGAAAAATGACATTACTGTACATTCTTGTTTACTGGCTTTTTATAATACACACTTCTCAGATACGTCAGGATAATTAAAATTTTAATGAGACAGTAATTTTAGACTGTTGCTAGAACACAACCAGTTGCATATTCCACCAATCCAGAATTCTGGGATCTTTACCTCATCTTTACCTCCTCAGAGGCCGCCAATGCCCAGGCCAATGCCCAGGCCCTCCCAGCCACGTCCCCCCTTGCGGTAATGTTCTTTAGGGATCGATGAGATGTCTTACAACCGGAACTCACGCAGCATTAATGGGTGGCAGGCTCTTCTTGTTGAAGCAGGGCTTTCGGGCACGAACTTAACCGGTCACAATGGTTGATGCCCTGAAGATGTATATAACAGCTCAGGGCTGCTTTAGCAGCAGGAGTAACAGGCCCCTGAGCAATCGTTCAGAATCTGATGAAATGGGGGGGGGGGGGTAAACCCCGGCTCCAGATGGTAATAATAACAACGACGGCCAGTATGTTATGGCAATGGCTCATCCCCCAGGGCAACTCCCCCCACAATGTCCCAGCACCTATGCCAGCAGCGATGGCCACAGTCCAGATGCCTCCAAAGTCCACAACAGTTGGCAGCAACAGTTGGCACCACCAGTCTCTCTCCTCCTGGTGCTTCTTCTCTAGGATTCCTCTTCAGGTTTCAGGATTCAAAACCACCCCCCTCCCTTACTCTTTATTATTAAAATCCCAGGCTAGAAACCCCAGCCAACTCCCTTACTTCACACTCTCGCTTGCCTCCGTTTCAGATATCCTCCCACGGAGGAAGCAATAAAACTTCACTCTATCTAGCCTCTATTTAAAATACCCTTGATAGAAAAATAAAATAAGGTTCCAGACCTTCTCTTCTCAACTCCAACCACCCCGGCCTTCTCCTTTTCTTCCCTTTTCTATCCTTCCTCCTTCCACTCACGCCAGCCACACCCAAAGCCAACTGCAGCTGTCCCAATCTTTCCCTTCCCAGTCAAGCTCCTGCAAGCACTCTCAGGCAGTCCCC